AATAAAATGCTTTTCATTTTTTTTGAAACTTGCTGAAAAGTAAGGCAATTTAAATTGGTTGTAAATTCAAAACTAAACTCTGGTTTGGTCTTCCATTGCAAGTCTCCCAGAAGATGGAATACGTGTTTCTTATAGATATGAAATAAATACTGAGGTCAACAGAGTGATTAGACACATTAAAAATGTGCCATGTCACACTGAGCCTAAGAGGGGAAAACAACCTCTGCCCTACCTGGTGCTTCTCTCCCTGTTTCTATGTTTATCAAACACACATGTGTGAACTGTACCCTCCACGTCCGTCGGGAGAACTTTCATCGTCATCACGGCTTTGTTGTGAATCTGCATCAATACATCTTTGTGTTAGTCATGCTATGGAAAAAGGAAAAAGCCAAACCATTGATTTTCTAAAAAATCAGTGACAGTCCCCTGATATTACAAGTGATGTTCCTTTGGAAGCAGTCATAACTACTTTAAATATTAAACATGAGTTAACATTTACTTGTCTGAAAATGTATTCATCCTACACACCCTCTCTCAGACCTAGAAACCAAATGGTAAAACTCAACCTTAAAACACAAGACACTTTAAAACATACTTCTGTTTGCTTATCACATATCTTGAATTATTAAAGCAGACGATAAAATAAACAAAAAGAGTCATGGTACAAGTTGTCAAACTCCATTTAGCTTCCAGGCAAGACAAATGGAGTTTGGCTGAACATGCAATAACTTATATGGCCACTAGATGGCAATGACAGCTTTTGTCTCTCAAATGCTCACCCTGCCCTTGCAGTTAAGTGCCACAACCCTTGGCATTGAGTTTGTCAGGACATCAAAGTGTAAAAATACATTGGGTGACTCTTCTACAGCTCACATTCTTTTTGAATCTCCTGTCCCTGGCCCACCGCAGCTGAAGGCAGCCAGTGAAGCTTCCTTACTAGCAATCACTTTTTAGGAACTTGATGATGTTCAATAGAATTAATGCCAAGTTTGCAGAAGGTAAAAAATGGAAGCAAAAAATGGGAAATAAGAGGGAAATATAAATAAGGGACCAGGTTTCTTTCTGTCACTGAATGGCACTAAGCTGGCAGTGGATCACAATTTTGAGAATATATTTTTTAATTTAATTGCTTTCTGCCATATAGCAAAACTATGCCTGTTTTGCCTCAGCGTTTATGGTCTAAATTACTTCTTTCATTAGTTACATATACACACACAATCCAACATTCATATATGTTTCAAATAATTGTTTGTAGCAGTGACAATTAACTGATGACAGTTTAATTTTCCATAGTGAATTGGTTTTAAATTGACAAAGAAAAACTTTGAAAAAAATTTTAGATATAGTTAGGCTTATAACATTGCTTTCAAAATGTGTTGTAGAGTTAAAATATGTAACTATCTAAATTTTCATCAATTCAGAAATTAATGATAATCATAAAGGAGTTAGATGTTATGGTTTGTAACAAAGAATTGATTTGTTTTTCAAGGAAGGAGGGATTTAAACATATTCACCTGAGTAAGGACCTTTGATTCTGAATAGCTTGTGGGAAACTATTCCCACAAGGGAAAACCTCAAATTAGTATTTTGATAAGTGGGATAAGCTGATTGTATTAGTAAAGTTAAAATAAAGAGATTTTAATTATTTTATAAATATATGGAATGAATTGATACAGGTAAATTTAATTACCCTTATTTCAAAGATGATACCTATTCATCCCTATGTATTCCTATTTTAAATGATACAACCTTTGCCTATACCACATTTTGTCCACACACACACACACACAACTAAATTTGGGGTTTTTTTTTCCATTTATATTTTGTTTGCCACCCACAAACAATCCATCTATATGGACTAGATATGCCTCTATCTAGTCCACAGCTAAATCAATCAAACACATTTGGGAGAAAATAACTCTAAAGAACCAAGAAAGGATGGGATACTATCTTCTGTTAGATTCTCACATAAAAGCATGACATAATTCAGTAGCATTTGAAAATAATCTGAACAAATTCACTGTGTGGTCTCAGATAACCAAACTGGGTAGCATCACTGGTTTCTGAACCTTGTTACTTCTCCATGACATAGCCGGATCTAATGGAATGGAGTCAAAGCAATTGAAATGTGTTTTAATGTGTCATTTATTTTAGGGTTGAAGTGGTAGTGACTACACTTTGTTTGCAAGAAGAAAGATACATTTACAATTTTGTAAATACCGGTATATTTTTACACATAAACAGATAAGATAGATAGGTTTATTGATCAAAAACCTTGAATAACTTCTTAGAGTTCCACCTCATATTTTATATTCTGGAGTCTTAACTTTCAACTTCAACTATTTATGGAAAAATTAGCCAAAGGCTTTTACATAAGAATTTTAAGGATGGGAAATGGAGAGTAGAATGAATCATGACAAGTTATACACCAGTATCTATTTACCTTACATCTGAAAAGTAACTTTAAAATTTCTTAGATAAAAAGAGTATATCCAGTTTCTAATGGAAATAAATATCAGTGTTTTAGAATTATTATAGGCAAAAATTTTATCCCAATTTTTGGAAAACTTGGTAAGTTTCTAAAAGACAGACAGTGAGGGTAATTCAAATTTGTGTGTATACACGTGCATTCATACTAAATAGGGAGTTTGTGCCTTGTCCACACATACCCCAGCCACCCCCAAAAGAAGAATGTACAGAAAGAAACCCTTATGTTTTTAAAGGTCTTAAAATAAAAACAATGCTCACTTCAGCAGCACATATACTAAAATGGGGATGATACCGAGGCAATTAGTATGGTCCTTGGGCAAGGATAACATGCACATTCATTAAGTATCTCATATTTTTAAGCATGATGCAATTTTTAGAAAGGTCAGAAGTTGTCATTAGCCTACAAAAGTTTTCATTTAGAAAATAAAATGGACACTTTTCAACCAGTCACATCTAGGAGTAAATCTGTACATGATGAATATATGCAATTTAGTGCAAAAATAGTCATGAGATCATGACTTCAACTTGGGATTTCCAGAAATAAATGATAGATAGGTGAATAAATAGATAGATGATAGATAGATAGATAGATAGATAGATAGATAGATAGATAGATGATAGATCAATCGATCTTAGGTGTAAAGGATAAACAAGGAAAATTTTTTATTAAATAAAAGTGAACTAGATTTTGTATTAAAAAAATTGTATTTATATAATAAAATTCTTAACTTCTGACTCTAAACTACAAATAAATTCAATATCTTTGTTTTAAAAACTTAACAAAGGTATTGAAGTCATTGTTCATTTAAGTGTTATAATTCTATGGAATAGTTCCAAAGACCTAAACTTCAAGTAATGATTTTTTTTTTCTACTTTACACTGTAGAGGAGTAAGAGAAAGAACACTAACATTCACTGAAAGTGATCTGGTGGTGGTGTCAAACACCGTACATGTATTATTTATTGGGTTTTGGAGAGGTTCCTAAGATACTGAAACCAAAATGATAATCATTTTGCAATATCTCCAAATCACTGTTGAAGTGATGGTAAATGTTTGAATTAGAAATCAAATTTAGAGACTGAATATTTTGTAAAACAGAGTATATATTAGTTTACTGGAAGAAAAAAAAAAAAAAAGAATGCAGATTGTTTTTTTGCCAGATCTTCTTATCTGGGCCTGGTTTGTGTCGCTATGGCTCTAGTAGTCAACAAGGTACGGGAATCATAACAGACAATGTTTTAGAAAAGTTCTTTAAGAACAGAGAAGAAAATTAGAGGGGGTATTTTAAAAAAATACAGGGTATATTTTTCACAGGTGTCTATGTATTTCAGTATTGAATACCTAAAAGTAAGAATTCAAATTCTGATACAAGTAACTGACAAAAGCCATGCAAAATCTTAAAGTCATTAATATCAGAAAAGTTGTTTGACAAGCAGCTATTCATGTAGTGATTTTATATCTTTCAGCCTATTTTCTTCTTTCCCAGCCGTTATGGTTCCCTAGGCATTGCCAAAGGGAAATGCTCAGTCCAACTACAAGTACAGATTCTCTAATTTGCCTCTGCTCTTACTTTGCCATCTGAGTACTCATTCCCCTGGTTAATGTCTCTGCTCAGCTGTTCCTCCTCCCGTGGAGCCGCCTTCCTTCCAGTCCACCTGCTCTGCGGGTCTCCAAACTACTAACTAAAGAGGTTTTAACTAAGGTTATTAAAAGGTTCACAGAAATCTCGTCATGATCTATTTCATTTCATTTTTAAAGTATTCTGTTGGTTTTGATTTACATTTTACATTACATGTATGGGGCCACGTTGGTTAATAGGACGGTACAGGCTGTGGTGATCACGGTCTCCTGGCACCGTCTTGATTTTAGGAACAGTCGACGATTCAGACATGAACACGGATAGAAAGGAGCTGCCAAATGGAAGGCCCGGGTTCTTGACTCCATTTTCTTCTATCGCTTGTAAGTGAATACTCACTGATAAAATACTAAAGTGCCAGGAAGCAATCGGGCAGCCGAGACAATGGAATGAACGACCAGAAGATCGGCAACAGACGGAGAGTTGCAAATACAGGTGTTATGTGACCGGGAGAAAATAGCACAATGTAGGCCTAATTTTCTTCCAGTCTGGGTTTGTAGGCACAGATCAATGAAATGAGGCAAAAACACCAACAAAATGTTAACAAAAACAAGAATTCCAGATACTTATTAACTTGTGGAAAAATTTACTCTTTTGAAGCAGAGATGACCCTGTTTAAATGAAGTCGATGGATACATTTCAGAGTCTATATTTCAAACATACAAACAAGATTTTTATTCCAATAAAATGGGGATGGTAATAAGAAATAGGAAGGAAGAGACCCAGAAAACCTTATGGAGTGAGAGTGAAATCTGGTTTAATAAAAAGCTTAATATATTAAAAGTTCAGAGTAGGTTGAATCTGTTCTTTTTTGGGTGACATTTTCCTTCAGTAATTAATTGTGCATTATTATTTACCTCAAGACATAATATTGAAGCCTCATACATGATCACAATCGAAGTTTCTATCTGCAATGATTACATATATTGCTGTAGCTAACTATTATAGTGTTAGTGCTCAGCCTTTTATATAGACCGACAAGCTCAAGACTACATCAGCGTTTCTTTTGTATTGACATTACTTAGGACAGCCACCAATTCTTTTGGATTACCTTAATTTTAAGTGAATATATCCCCATTTTCCTACCATTTTCCTTCTTGTCTAACATACTAATTTTACTATTTAAACAGATGAATCCAGACTAATTTTTTCTTAATTAAGCAGAAATTTTTATAATGTGATCATACCTGAGATAACCAAGAATACTTCATTTTAGCCATCTATGTATTTAAATATATATATATATACACAAGAATGCCTCATTGGGTATTTCAGAACTACATATATTGAAAGTAGTTAGTATGAGGGATTCACTTCTCTAGGTTTGGCCCTGGTCTCTCTTCTTTTGAGATAGCCCTTTATTTTTGAATAATTGATGCACTTTCAAAAATTCACCTCGTTAAATAAGGTTTTGTTCATTGTTGTTTCATTGTGACATTGATAAGATACCACTGGAAATTTACTCTTGTTTCTATCAATTGCCTATGGTAAAATTGGTTACATTCTATATCCTTTTGTTTAAAGTCACAGAACCTATGGATGAATAAGTGAGGACTTATAGTTATTTCTGTATTGTTTATATTCCACATTTTTGTACCCTATCAACCAAACCCTAATGAGAACTGTCTTAGGGTAAGATATCTGTTTGGCTTCAGCATTATATGTATTAGTTTCTAATATGGTGCCTTATATACATATATTTAGCATGCATCATTTTTTGAGGACATACTATAGCCAGGCATTGTGCTAAGCCAAGAGGGTATATATAAGAACAACATAGAAAAAAAAAACATCTGCTTAACTTGCATATTCTATACCCTAGAGAGCAGCATACAATGGAATAAGCACTTAGATTTTGTAATTAGACCTGAATTCAAATCCTACTTCAATTCCTATGAGTTATATTATCATGTAACTCATTTCTGCTTCAGATTATTCATCAGTGAAAAGATAGATAACATTTACCTAAAAGATTTGTTGCAAGTGCCAAATCAGATTATTAGAGTGAATATTTTAATGTGAGATATATGAAGCATATAATAAATAAAATTTATATATTATTTAAATAGTTTATGTCATTTTTTTCTATATCACCATTGACACACTGTAATGACTTCATGTTTAGGCAGAGATAATACAAGGCCACTATGTAAAATATTTATGGCATATGATTGGCTTATCAATGAACACTATATACTATGTATCTACTTATTGATTTTGGTAATAGAAACATATAGATTTCTTCCTGAGGAACATTTCAGCATTTAATTTTGCACCTCATGAATTTTGCTGTATTTTGCTTAAAAGTGCTGCGACTGTTCCAGAACACAAATAGTGTCATTAATATGTTCATCTTTTCCAAAAGTATATTTTATAAAATGTAATCCTTATTTCTCTTTAAATTGATACTCATTTAAAGTGTGTAAGATAAGGATTAAATTTAAGAATTATTTTCAAGAAGTCAATTATCCCAAAATTATTTAATGAATATTAGATCTGCTCATATAAAATTTATAATATATTCATGATTACACAGTAAAGTTTATATCTACTAGGATTGAGAATTATGTTGTTACTTATGTTATTCATGGTATTAGTATATATACTGACCGAACATTATTTCTTTCAATGTGAGCATCTCTGTTTCTTTGGTTAAGCAAATATTTTAAACTAATATCAATATATAACACAGTAATTTCAAATTCATATATCTCATTCTTTTTTTGAAAATATTATTTATCTTTATCTGGCCGCTGTGCATCTTTAAGTAAAAATTTCAAGGAATGTATCCATGAAGAGTTTATGTTCTGAATCCTGCAGATTCAGGCATGGAAGTCATTCTGTTTTCTTAGCACATTAACTACTTCAGTCAAAATATTCTTGAATCACAACAGTTTTCTCTCCAAACTCCGTTCTTACTATTTCATTGTATTCTGACTCTCTGAGTTAAGTAAGAAAGTAAAACTGGTATGACATTTTTTTATTTTTCTTTTTGCCCAAATACTTGAGGGTTTTTTTTTCTTAAATATTTTTATTAATTTTTTTTTTAGTTTTAGGGAGAGAGGAAGGGAAAGAGAGAGAGAGAGAGAGAGAGAGAGAGAGAGAAACATTCATGTGAGAGCAGAACATGAATTGGCTGCCTCCTGCACACCACCTACCAGGGATCTAGCCCACAACCTGGCACGTGCCCTGACCAGGTATCAAACCAGCAACCTTTCAGAGCATGGGATGACACCCAGCCAAATGAGCCACACCAGCCAGGGCTAGATATTTTTTTCTTTAAACTTGAAATTCAAACACTTGGCCAAGTTTAAGTCACTTCATTATTTTTTGTTATGGGCTTTAGTGAACCCTTTTGACTTATATACTCAGGTAACGACTCTTCTTGTTTGGTTTATTTTGGCTAAAATATGGAAAGTGTTTTCTTTTAATAAATAATGCTCAACTTCATTTTAAAATTCATTATCAATGGCAGCCAGTTATTTAGATATACACATATTTTTTTATTCTCTTCTGTATCTTCTGTTATTATTATTATTATTATTATACTTTCCTTTCTTCTTAGAAAACTGTCATAGTTATTAGTGTTTTCATTTTCTACAGTGTCAATCATGTTCTTTACTACAGCTGAAGCCAACCTTAATTTTTTAATGTGATATCTTCTTCTCTCCCATGTTCTTTTTATATCTTTGACAGAAACATTTACAGTTTAACTATTCTC